TTTCGTTTGAGCTCAAAAAAACATTCATATATTGTCTGACATCTTTGCTACAAACTCGGGTTTTCAACTCGGGTACGCCGAGGTAAAATACGCCTTTTTGAAGCCTAAATCGCGATTTTTACAACGAAAAATAATTACGTTCAGCAAAACGTAATTTAAATTCACGTTTTTCTGTGTGAAATATAACATTCTTAATAAAAACAAGTTTGTCCGTGCCTTTGAATTTTTTAATTTGTATATTAATCATTATTTAATTGTTCTCTTCATATAGAGGTTCGGAAAGTCGATGGATGGCATATAGCATCCCACTTTTTATGTAATTTATACCTTAAAACCATTTAAGGTTTAGTGTTAGAAATTTTTTTTAATTAAAAAATTTTTCAATTTGTTTTTCTGTTTTTAGAAATTATTTAAAATTTCATGGAAAGTCGTTAAGAAATTTCAAGTTTAAGGTTGAATTCAAGGAAATTCATGACTTTTCAGTGGGAGTGAGCTGGAAATTTTACAACTTGATTGAATTTTCAATGGAACATAAATATTCCGAACCAAAATGACATGAATTTCCAAATTTTCCCAAAATTTTCCTGATTTTTCTGAATTTTCGCAGAATAATTTAATTGAAAAATTGAATATTTTATTGATTTTCAGATCATTCGAACCGACAATCAATAGAATATTTCATTTTTCAATGACAAGATTTCCTGAAATTTGAGTGAAAATTAAACACGCTAAAAATTTCCGGGATTTGGCACAGAAAATTCAGACGAAAATTATCAATATTGTTGACAGACTATAGATAGCCCGGGGATAAGACAAAAAATAATTGTCCTCAGTGCAGAAGAGCAATAAAATCCTTTTGCATAATATTACTTTCAATGACTCAATCATTCATACAATGTTGTTACCATTGACATGGAACGGTAATCGAACAATTTTCATAATCATTTCCAAGATAATTGGGTGTTCGTGTCCACTACCGTCAGCATTTGCGTGTACTTGGAATTGATCGACGTGGGTATAAAGGCGCTTCCAATAATGCAACGAGAAAACTTTAAACGTCAAGGCACTGGCATCGACATGCGGATCATCGTGCCCTGTCTCGCACTGCTGTCCCTCGTCCTTTTCGTCCGAGGGGTGAGTCATTAATAAAAAAACGCTCGACTCTCCGACGATCAATTTTATCTGGCTATTTTCAGGACGACAAGGATCCGCACGGACCTATAAGGGAGAAGTGCAAGGACCAGTTCGGGCTGTCCAGTGGTAACGTATTCGTCGCGTGGACGCGATTATTAATTACTCTTATTGATTTCCATTTTTTGCTTGCGAAGGGAAGCATTGTAATCGTTCAAATTCAAGTTTTGGATTTATCGTGTTATATATGGACCTATTATGATCCAAAAAGTCAGAAAATGTAATTTTTGAACCGTGTCTGTACGCATGTAAACAAATTTTTCTTCGATTGTTCGTTAATAAATCCATGGAATTGAATGTTTTTTCTCCTCAAATGTACATATTGTTGAGCCCTATCTATCGCTATTAATTACAATTAAATTCATTTATTAATTTAAAATTTTTTGAAGTTTTTTCCATTTTTGAATTGTTTTTTTTTTGTGATGACTAAAAAGAAATTTCTGAAATTATTGAACGATTGCTTAAAAAATTTGTTTAGATGTCCTTTTGGCCGAGTTCGAAGATGATGGTGATAGCAATAATCGTTATTTTGATTTATTTGAAAATTTGCAAAAATTTTGAATCTTTTGAAATTTTATGGAAGGTATTATAGTAAAACTATGAGGGTGACGTTAAATCGGATTTAAGGAAAAATGGTTATGACATATGTTTTAATAGAATTCACCGAAATTCATGAGTTTTTAGTAGAACATGAAGATTCAGAAATAAAATGACATGAATTTTCAATTTTTCCCTGAATTTTCCTGATTTTTCTGAATTTTCACAAAATAATTGAACTGAAAAATCAGGTATTTTATTGATTTTCAGGTCATTTGAACAGAAAATCAATGGAATATTTAATTTTTCAATGACAAAATTTCCTGAAATTTCGGTGGAACTTGAACACGATACAAATCCACGGATTTTGGCATGGAAAATTCAGACGAAAATTTGAACATACAGTGTACTATATGCAATACAAGAACAATTTCCCACTTGTTTTTGTTTTTAGAGGACCTCAAGGAGGCCATGGAGGACCCCAACGACGTGGGATGTTATCTCCTGTGCTTCTTCAAGGATCTGTCGATTGTAGGGGATTTAGGGTGTTGGGGTTCGTCGATGGTGGTGATTTATACTCTTTGTGTTGCAGATGGATGACAGCGGGGAGTTTGATCCCCTTGCAGCTATGGATGCTATCGAGGAGAGTGCTAAGGATGGTGCCAGGCCTGTCATCTTCTCTTGTTACGATCAAGGTGACGAGGGATCAGAATAAATTTCATGGGGAGAAATTTTTTTATGAAAATTGAAGAGGAAATGTGAAAATTTCAGGGGACAGCACGTGAATTTTTCTAGAAAACCCCGGGAATTTTACTCAACAGCACTAGAGTTTTTCTGCGAAATTCCTTTTTATGTTGCAAATCTTCTTTTGCCCCATATCATATCGCTTCGTAAATAAATTGAATTCTGATAAGACAAAAAACAGGTCAATTTATGAAGTCGTAATTCTTTGTCATCAGAAATAATTTTTTCACACGAAAAGAATTTTTTATTGCAATGTTGAAAATTTATTACACAAGAAATTTCGTCATTAAAAAATGAAAGTTGCACGGAAAAATTGAGGAAAACAAGAAGTTTTAGTTTAATTAGCCTACGAAAATTAATAGAAATCGGAAGGATTCAGGTAAATATTATTTTGAATCCTCAATTAGTTGAATTAATTGAATTTGAATCTGAAATTTCATGATTCTCTTTCCCCCTAAATTAAATCAAATGTCACATCATGGAGTTCACTAGTCAACTGTCCACGAAATTTAAGCTTTTGTAATAGTGCAGTATTTCTCATGTTTTCGGGACCATTCCAGAGAAAAAATCGGCAACCAAAGACACTTGTGCTCGGGCATTGGAGGTGGTTCTTTGTTTCAAGAAGGAAGCACCTGAAGTGAGTTTTTGAGAGAAATTTTCAGATGCAATCAAGCATTATCAATTATTTCAATAATTACTTGAGGAAGAAATGTCTGATAATTTTTGTAATTTCCTTTGCAAAAAAGTTCTCTTGGCATTTCCTCCAACATTCCTCACAAAATATCGAGTGACCTCGATGATGAGCAACTTGAGAAGAAAATGTCAAAAAAATTTAGGAGATGGTGGGGCTAAATGGACTCTTTCGACACTTTTCTATCTATTTTCATAACTCAGGAACAAATTTATCAATTGCGGTCACTGGGTTCATCACAAAAGGAATTTTTCTCTCTATTTTATAAAAATTCAAATCGACTCCTGGTAATAAAAATTTGGTACTCGAAGTTAAGACTTTACAATTAAGGGCCACAACGGTCCAAATATAGGTCACAAGGGTCAAAATAGTTGTCATGAGAGTCAGGAAGGTCAGAATAAGGGTCACGAGGGTCAGAAAAAGGGTCATAAGGTTCAAAATAAGGGGCACGAGGGTCAGAATGAGGATCACGAGGGTCAGATTAAGGGCCACAAGGGTCAGAATAAGGGTCATGAAGTTATTAGTCAGGATAAGGGACATGAGGGTCAGAATGACGATCACGAGGGTCAGATTAAGGGTCACAATTAAGATTAAGGGTCAGAATAAGGATGATATGGGGGTTGGCGAGCGGAAGGAGCAGGGGGCGTAGCCCCCTAGTATAGAAAAAATTCATCCCACTTCGTTAACAATTCAACACATCATTAACATCTCAATAAAATCAAAAGTGTCCATTTTACCCTATTCTCGTAAACAGCAAAACGTTCACACCTCGAATTAACAATTAAATTCTTTTCAGCTCTACAAAAATTTGGGACTATTCCACCCACTGGGCCAATAGCGCCGCTCAATCGCCAACATGGTCCTCACCACATCAACAATTCAAAACCCCCAGAAATAGCTAAACAAATATGGTCATCTAAAATGATGCCATGAACGACGTATTCTCACGCAATATCAATAAATAAAACAGCAAGAAAAATAACCAATGACTGGCATTTTCTGTCCTACTTATTTATCATACATATTTGTACCATTCCAACTCGGGCTTATTTTCGTCCATTGGAATACAATCTTCACTCTCACGTGAACAATATTTTGTCAATAAAAATTCGATTGAAACACTCAAGGAAAATCCATGCGAGAGACAGCGAAGAGAATTGAAAACGATCTGAAATTGGCAAGAATCCATGAGACAAACGTCGCGTGTGTTTACAGTATTTTATTTCAAATTGAGGATATATCCTATGACGCAGTGGCATCGAAAAGGCTCGAAATCGAAATCGATTTGAGTATTAATTCGACAATAGGAGTTTTGCGGTAATTTTTTTGAAAATTTAGAACAAAAACCATGAAAATATTATTATAACTATTTCTATTTTTCTTGTAATTTTCAAAAAATCGTTCGTTTATTATTATTATTATTATTATTGTATTATGTTAATGCAGTAGCGAAGTGGTAAACCGGTTTAAGTCGATTTTGACTATTGACCAGTTTTTAGTGAATATCACGGAATCGAAGGGAGATAGCTAAATTTTGTTCAAAACCTTTTTTGTAGCACTCAATTTGCTCTAGAAAAAAGCTTATTATGAAAATTTAATCATCTCCTTTAAATTTAAAGATATTCTTCAAAAACTCAACTAAGAGATAAGTCGACTTAAACCATTTTACCACTTCGCTACTGAATTAAATATAGTACATTAAACATTAAAGAGTAACTAAAAAATCTGCCGGAAAATTATCGGTTGAATCTAATGAAAAAATGCCCTGTGACTTGAATTTCGCAATGCCTTTTATTTATACCTCCAATCGCCTCTACAAACATTTCAAAATGATGGATGATAAATTACACGGTTTATGGGAGCAAGATTAATAATTAGTAAGCGTCAGTTGCAAGTACTTTATGCATAGTCGACTATTGCTTTTCCTGTTGCCCACAATGAGGGCTGTCTCAATTGTTCTAATTACCACCGCCTTATGCCTCGTTCTGGTGAGTGTATTTGCTGATTGAATTAACATTGACTCGATTAAATATTTGCCACTTGGTCTCGTGGGTATTGATCGGGTGTGTCTTTATGATTGATTGTTGCATACGTTGAGATAAATGGAAGAATTGATTATTTCAGGTGGAGGCTGATATCCGCAGGGAATGCCGCAAGCAGACTGGTGTCTCCTGGGGTGAGTGAGGAGATTATTCTGAGTAATAATTGAGAGTGTTCATTTGCGTTATTGAGAGATGGCGGGATTTATTGTTGGAGAAATGGGGGAATTTGTTGTTGGACAAATGGGATTGGGTTTCAGGTGCACTGAAGAAATTCCGGGCTGCGAATTTCCAGCAGGACGATAAGAAACTCAAGTGCTATGTGAAATGTTTTATGAAGAAGAATGGAATTTTTGGGGAGAGGGATATTGATATTGATAAGGCGCTGAGGCACCTACCGAAGGGTGTGCAGGGAACTTCGAAGAGAGTTTTGGAGAGTTGCAAGAATGTTCGTGAGTATCGTCTTAGGATTGGTCAAATGCTAACGTTTTGGATTTTTATCGCATGATTTTTTATAGCCAGCACGGATCCATGCGATAAGGCCTTCCAAATAGTTAAATGCTTCTCTAAACAAGAACCAGAGGTAATGGAGGGTGATACAGACGTTTGCCACAGCTCTATACCAATTATGATGATTTTATTTCAGATACTGAGAGGTGTGCCATTTGTGTAGACGATGAATGGGTGACGAAAATTGAGAAAAAGTTTTGTTTTTCGACTTTGAGATGTTGTAAGGCATTGTTAGGACTTCATTTGTGCAAATAAAACTCTTTATTTGAAATTATTCTAATCATTTCAGCAATATTTTTGGAGGGAATTAATAAATTCATTTATGTGTTTCAACGAAAACTTTCAATTCTATGGAATGATTAATATGTATTTGATGTGGATAAATTTTATTCAATTCAGTTCAACTATTTCCCTATGATTTTTAATTTTTCTTGTTGAATTTTCATGTCGAAATTCCGAAATTCAAGTGCCATGTGAATTGTTTTATGAAGAAGAGTGGAAGTTTTGGGGAGAGGGATATCGATATTGATAAGGGGTTGAGGCACCTACCGAAGGGCGTGCAGGGATCTGCGAAGAGAGTTTTGGAGAGTTGCAAGAATGTTCGTGAGTACCCGCTTTTAAGATTCGTCAAATGCCAACGTTTTGGATTTTAATTACATGATTTTTTGAAAGCAGAACCAAAGGTAATGGAGGTTGATCCAGGCGTTTGCCACAAGTCTATACTAATGATAATGATTTTATTTCAGATACTGAGAGGTGTGCCATTTGTGTAGACAACGAATTGTTGATGCAACAAACTAATTTCAAAGAGCGTCAAAAATTGAGGAATTGAGGAAAAAATGTTTTTCGATTTTGGAGAAGGTGTAAAGAATTGCAAATTACACTCTTGTATTCACCGCAACAAAATGTTTGTTGGCAATTAATAAACTCATATATTTGTAATTTTAATGGAAATTTTTAATTGCGTGGAATGAATAATTCATTCAATATAAATAGATGTATTAAAAGGATTGAATGGACGAGGTATTTGACTGAAATAAAATATATTTAATTTAAAAAAAAACATTCCTCTATCATTTTTCTTATGTTAAATTTTAATGTGAAAATTCCGAAATTAATTTTGTTGAAAACTTTCTGAACAACATGTGGTAAGAAAATTCCTGGTTTGTCGATTTACCGACTAGTTCCGCTTGATACTCTGGAATTTATTTCCCGGAGGCGCACGAGAGGTGGGGGCACGATAGCGAGACGATCACAATTACCCATTGAATGAAAATTCTTTGCAATTTTTGCAGAAATAATGAAAAACTTATTGACTTTCTGGTCTTGATTTAAGAAAGCGAAATAATTTTCCGGGAAAAAATATCGCCTACTTTAAAAAGAATAAAAATTACCATCATCACTGTCGCTTGTGCCAATAACTCTTGACAAAAACTGGAAAAAAAATCAATTTACATTCCAAAGGTCACGAGTCACCTACATTTCACTGCAATGTCCCCCAAGCCACTTCCTTTTTATTTCCATTCCCCGAAAATTTGGCTCGCAGTTACGTGCCAAATAACTTCTGGTTGAAACACAGTGAAAACTTTTTGGACAAGTGAATGAGAATCTAACGTCTGAATTCCACTATTCACTCCTCGGGTATCAAAAACTTAGGGTCAAGGACGTTGGAAAATATCGGAAAACTCAAACTTTAATTCTACAATTGCTGAATACCATTTTCCGGATAAAACTGTGCAATATCAGTCTAATAATTTCACATTCACCCTCAGTTTAACGATATTCAAAGTAATTTCAAAGTGAATTAAAGATGAATTGAGGGATCAACTTACGCAAATCAGATGGCGTTTTCCCCGAAGGAAATTGTTTCCAGTCGCCTGGCGTCTTTCCAATGACGTGTTCCCTGCTTCTTCCTGGCGGACCTATAAATCGGTCCTGGCCAGAAACTGGCGGATGAGAATTTTCCGGTTTCATCGCAACTGGAGTTGAAGATTTAAAGAATATTTTCCGTTATTTATAACCTACAGAAAATTATTCCCTTGAATTGAGGAAAACTCTTGGAGGAATATATATTTCATATTCGTTTATTTTATTAATAAACAGATTTCATGCAGCAACCCAATTTTTCCAATGAAATGTCATTTGGATTTTAATCAACTGACCTGAAATAATAAAAATTGACTCTAAACAAGTGGGAAATTGCTATTGTATTGCACGTAGTACAGTTATTTTTACTAATAAATTAGGAAGAAGCTTCCGAATGGTTATTTCGCACATAATTTCCCTCTATCGTGTATAATTCATCGTTTATTCCATTTCATTAGATTGGATAAGATTTCTTTCCAACTAATTTCGTCTGATTTTCAAATTACACTGGTGAGAGTTTTCATCTGAATTTACCGTGGTAAATTTTTGAAATTTCAGGAAATCTTGTCATTGACAAGTCAAATGTTCCATTGATTTGCCGTTCAAATGATCTAGAAATCAATAAAATACTGGATTTTTCAGGGAAAATTCAGGGAAAAATTGAAAATTCATGTCATTTTGTTTCTGAATATTCATGTTCCACTGAAAATTCAAGCAAATTGTAAAATTTCCGTCTTACTCCCCTGAAAACTCATGAACTTTCGTGAATTCTAATTAAAACTTGAAATTTCATAACCATTCTTCCCTAAATTCGATTCAATGTCACTTTCATGAGACTTACTATAATAACTTCAATGAAATTTCAAAAAATTTCCAACAGTGTACACACACACGTACTGGGTCGACATAAAACAAAAATCTAAAATTTAAATTTGAACGATCACAAAGCTGCCAATCGGAAGCAAAAATTCGCTTCAATCGCTTGAAAAAAATAAATCTTCAAATTTAACAACTTTTTTCGCCTCAGTATATTTTCATTTTCATCCCGAAAAATATCCCTCCATGCCCCGTGGAAAATATCAAAAGGCCGCTCGGCCAACAGACCCACCTGGGTTCTTAAAAAAATATATCCCTGAGATTAATCCTCAACATGTTAAAACGAGTGAAAAAAACCCAGCGTTCAATCAGACTGTCATCCGCACCAAACCATCGGTGCATCATAAAAGATTTGGATTGCATGGATATTTGTTTTTTGTTGTTTTACCTTTAAAAAAAGGGTATATCCACACTAGGTATTCATACACAGTGAGACGTGCAAAACAAATTGGAGGGTTTTGAAGGATAGATTGAACGGAGCGTAGAACGTGAAACATTGGGGTTTTCGTTGCAGTCTTTCTGGTATTGGTCGATGTGCACCAGAGGGAATCCGTCGTTATGAGAGTGGGATGGAGTGCCTGGGGATATCCCTTTTACACACAGTGTAAAAATCCAGGTGTCATATTCACGGATATTCGAAGGGTTTATTAATATTCGTGTGAATGTGGATTGAATGATGAAATCCAATATGAAAATTCAGTGAGTCATTTTGCTAGTCGGACTTCGATTCATTCATGTGGGAATGAATGAACTTCGATTGAATAAATCATGAGAATTCCGGATGTTGAGACATTTGAAGATGAGATAATTCAGTAGCGAAGTAGTAAAACGGTTTAAGTCGACTCATCTCCCAGTTGAGTTTCTGGAGAATATTTGAGCGAATTGAGAGCTGCAAAATGAGAAGCGAATTGAGAGCTGCAAAAAAGGTTAAGAAAAATTTTGCTATCTGACTTAGATTCCGAGATATTCATTGAAAACTGGGCAATTGTCAAAATTGACTTGAACCGTTTTACCACTTCGCTACTGAATTGAAGTCGTAATGATTTCGTTGAGTTTTATTGTGTTCGACCTAGTCTATTGTGAATACGGATTATGAAATCGATGCGCGAACTTCGGTTGTTGGTTTTTTATTATAAATATTATCAATATTTTTACGTGGATTATGAGGAAGAATTTATTGGCACGCAGTAATCCGTTATTTGGAATGAGTGAATCATTTGTTTCATAGAATTAAATCGTTTTCATTGAAATAAATATATGGGTTTGTTAATAAAAACATGAATACCAAATTACCAAATTATGTTGAATTTGCAATTCATTGAAAAGTCAAGAATATATTAAACTGAATTTTCCTAGCACTCAGTCATTTTCATGGAGTAGTTGGACTAAAATTCGAAGTCGAAATTTCTTGAAATTCCAATAGAACTGTGACATCAAAAAATTTTCCAAGTGTACTCGGAGTTTCAGCCTAAAATTTTCTATACACCCGAAAAAATTATTTGTTTGAATCAAATAAATAAGTTTATTTAAGTAGTATGAAATAAAGTTTTTATTCAAATTAACAGAATTCCTATACTTGAAGTTCTGATTGTATTAAATAAATATTTTTTTATTATTAATAAATCTGTATTTGACTGCAATAAATTGTTTATTTCATTTCAATATATGATTTATTTGAAATAAATAAATCGTTTCTTGAATTTCCTAAAAATTCATTCAAAATCTATAAATTATTCATTTGATACAATTAAATCCGTTTTCTTGGTATGTTTTTAATTTTTAACAACGACATTCTTGACGTGAATAAAAAAATGTAAAAAAAGATTTTGTGTAATTCAAATAAGCTATTTTTCTGGCTGTAAATCCAGACTATATTTTTTGTCATTAGAACACTTCAATAAAATTCATCTTCTTCGAATCACCTGGACCTCAGAAACCTACAACTTCTAAATAATAATGCAGACTGAGGCTGTTTTAGCCTCAATTTTATTGCCAAGCACCGGAATTTTTTTCCATAATTCTTTTCGCGGTCTGCAGATTGGCCCTCATGTGGAATATGTCTCATGCGATATAACTATGGTACAAGAGAATAAACATCGAATTACGCCTACTACTGGTTTTGTCAAGTGGAGTACGCTCTGGCTGTTTGTACTCCAGTTTCACTGCTCTCCCATCACCAGAAAACATTTCTATCCTCTCCCCTGCTCCCTCTCCACTCTCTGGACAGCTCGGGCTTCGCTCGTGCATACGACTCTCTCGCCCAGTAATAACACGTTTCTGGGTAGGGACTTTGTATACAATACCGTCAGTCCCTCATACCCATCAACAATTGTCTCTGTGTTTAACATGATACCGTTGGTATATTCCACGCACTGGGGGGGGGGGGGGGGGATTTGAGGATTAAAAAAAATCAAAATGAAAAATCAAAGTGTGATGCATGTAAAATCCGTCTTGCTGAATGAATGGCGGCATTTTCCGGGAGCCGATGGGAAAGGGGTAATGATAAGTCATTGTTATGTTAATCAGGGC